GCGAGTTTTGACGCTGCCTGGCATTGCGGCGTAGAGCTTTCCCGGAAGATCGGGGCGTTGACGCGAGGCTTAGTTGACTGGTGAGTAGCGAAGGAGCGCTTGGCTTGGTTCCAGCAGCTGGGAGAAGTCAGGACTGACGTAGCTGACGTGGCGGTAGCGAGACTGTCTTCGTTTGGCCTCCGCAGGTGGATAGGTGTGTCAGATGGTTGGGCAGAAGCCGCAGTAGAGGCGAAGGTATCAGACGGTTGGGCAGAAGCCGCAGTAGAAGGGGAATGTGTCGGACGGTTGGGCAGAAGCCGCAGTAGAAGGAATGTGTCGGACGGTTGGGCAGAAGCCGCAGTGGCAGGGGATGTGTCGGTCGTTGATAGTTCTGTGGAGCCGTGGTCGCCACTTTGTCCAGAACGGGGAACACTTCCGCTTTCGCCCAATAACTGTTCCGAGCGGAAGTGTTTTCTCGTTCTGGACAGCTGCGGGGCCAAAAAGCATGAAAATCGTCACTTGTACGATCGCAGAGTTCTTATCGGAGAATCAGCTGTGCGGCTGAGAGCGAACTGTTGGAGATGGAGTAAACTGGGCACGTGCAAACTGGGATTGGAATGGGGTTCTATCTAGGGCACTTGGCATGTTTTTCTGTTTTTTTTCTTCACTGTCGAGTCACTCAGAGTCTTGCCATCTATATGCGAATCCCTACTCTACTATCTGTGATGACGACAGGGCACAGCATCCGTTGTGTGAAACACATAGGGGGGTCGTACTTTTCCGCTGGGGAGGGGGTCGTATTTGGGGTAAGACAAATTTATTTTGATAGTTGATTTTTTCTTGTGGAAAAAGGGGGGTCGTATTAATTCGTATTAATTTTTTGTGTTATATGCACCCTGTACACCCGCCGGATATACGTTGCATAGTTATTGTATACCCCCCGCTCGACGACTTTTTCGCCGACTATATACCCATCGCTCGTCGTCGGCGAAAGAGCTGGTCGAGCTGAGGGGGGGGGGTCATGGCGTGGACCCCATTCGGAGGGGGGGGGTCGTACTCACACCGACATTTCGCCTATCCCTATGCTGTACCCTGGATGACGAATGATCGCGAGCTTTGCCTTTAGAACCGCTACAAACACATTCTTCAGTCCTAAAAGATCATGAAAATCTATTATGTCATTCCATTCAATAATGTGTCGAAGGTTTTATTCAAACAAAAACAAAGAGAGGGGAAGGCAGATAAAAAAAGTTGCAATTGACCCACTCTCATCGCCCCGAAAGGTTCGACCAACTGATGCCCCTGACTGACCAGAATAGTTGAAATCGCACGGCTTCATGTTGGGCAGATGCGGCGATCGAACACAGGTCTCAGTATTGGTTGTACCCTAGCACTGCCCTATAATACAGTTACTCGTGGTCTGGCACTACATATGACGAGCAACGGTGGCCTCTTGTGGTTGTGTGGTATCATCCATTTGTCGATCTGATTGCCTGAGGGACACGCAGTGACAGCGCTAAACACCGACAGTGACGATTTTGTCCTTTTGTCTTGGAGCCGCTTGGAAGCCACAGTGCAACAATCCTTCGCTATGATGATCATCCACTTGGGCCCACGTAACTCCTCATGGTAGAACTAGGGCGGCTTCTCATCTGCAGTCATAAAACAATTCTTTTTTGTTATAGCTCGGAGTTAAGACCACCCGTATTTCACTAGGAACGAGGTGTGTTTTCACAATGAATTGCTCCCATTTCACCCATTCAAAACCCAACAGAAATATCTTCTCAACTAGCTGGTCTTCAAAAGAAGTTCTGCGATTTACTGAAGGAGATATTCTGCGCTCTGTAGTGATATCTTCGATTTTGCAAAAGATTGCATATTAAAAGAAAGTTTTTGTCATCCTAAGCATAAAACCTGCATGCGATTGACCATCAACCCATTTAAAAAAACCATTTAAAATATTCCTCAAGCAGGGAAAGACTCAGATTGTAGCAGTAGCGCTACTGGTTTTTCATGCTGCTTTCGTTCCTCAAATGAACCACCCTAAAAAAGTTATTTCCGGCGGAATATGCATTGCGATGTCTAGTACAAGTCTGTCTAGCGCTAATTAGCGCTGGGATCGCGTGCGTCTGCGAACGCTTATAGATCGTTTATTCCTCACCCTTTTCCCTTTTTCGTTAGAGCCAACAATTGAAGTCGGTAGGGGTCGTTCTGATATCGCCCCTTCACACAAGACAAACTGTACATGCAAACAATGTGCGCATAACACAAATATGGTAATAAAAGTTTGGAAAGTCTGTGAACATTGCGTGGCGATTTTTTCCATAGTTTCCTAGGGATGTTTATGGCAGGGCACATCATTGGTTGGGGATTTTAGTGGAGTCAGGTACGATCCCTCCTCTTTTTTTTTGGGGGGGGCGATTGGTATACCCGGGAGGGGTCCCGCCACCGGTAGTACCAACGCCCTCCCCCCCCCCCGCCAACAAAAAAGGACCTGTTCCTGCCCTGCATCGAATCAGCCGTCGACCGGGGCTGAAATAGCACATGTGAGACAGGACTTCCGCAGCAACATCGACCGCCCCCCCCCCCTAACCAAATTATGCCAAGATTTCCTCCCCAACTTCCTGCCACTTTTTTCCGAAATTTCTCGAAAAGTTCCCTACTTTCCTCCGAAAATTTTGCTGTCGAGCGGAAGAGGGGACACATAGAACGCATGAAACAGGAAAATCACCAAAGTTCAACTACCATTCCTACAATGCCAAAACGTAAATACGACCCCCTCCCCTCCCAATAATGACCAAGTGCGACCTTCCCCCTTTACAACGTCCGTGAAAAATCAACTATCAAATTGAATTTCCCAACCCAAATACGACCCCCCCCCCCCTCCTGGCGGCCAAATACGACCCCTCTCCTATTGGGAACTCTCCAACAACGATGTGCCCTGATTTTTTGATTAACGCGTAACCCTATCAACAGAGCTCCCATTTTCAAAACTGCGCGCAGATTATGTGTGCTGTACGTGAACCGCAGACCACACATCATAGTTGACAGCAGGTTGGTTAACAGAGTTGAGCGGCTTCATCGATTTCATTGTTGCTGTCTTTCTGTTCATGTGTTTGTTGAGGCCATTTCGACTCTTGTGGCTGTTTTGATAGCTTGTCGTTTGTATTATACGCCGGCTGTGCCAAAATAGCAAGGGCAGGTCTTTCACCTGAAGAACACGTCAATCACTTGTTTGTATTACGACACTTTGAGGTCTGCCCTATTTATTGTAGGGGGGCTTCGTTCTTAAAGCGCTAGTAAGCATAGTTTAAGTTGGAGGCATTGAGCGAAAGGATTTAAGCAGAAAATGTTGCGCAGACGAGAGTTTGTGGTGGTACTCCATCAGTAAAGCATCTCCATAATATCCAGGGCAACTTTTTGAACATTTGCATTGCTCAATGCCCTCATCATAAGAGATGACATTTTTCAACGCTCATACCATCTTGCACGCAACCTCGTCTGATCTTATGGACTGGGTTACTCAGTGCTCAGGCTCGCATTTTCATGTATAGTCCCCCCCCCACTTAAAATACGACCTTAAATAGAGTGGTGCGACATTGCTTATTCGTTTTGTGACTCCTGTTGACGCTGCGGATGAAATTGAAGTGCATTAATCGTGATGAGGGCACTGAATAACCTTATAATATTGTGATGAGTTTGTTCAGAAAGGGGGTTAAGGAAGTTTGGGGTCATCCGCACCTTTGACCGGATGACCATAGTCACAAACCTTAGCCTCTGTTTGGGGGAGGATCATGTACGTGCTGCTGCGTGGCCGCTCAATAGCTGCGTTAGCGCCGGAAACAGTAGTATCCTCCCTATTTCCTGGAGGGAAGGGGATATGTGGCAAGAGAATCGTTCGCCGCGTCAGTGAGCGTTGCGTGTGACGTCGCGCCCCCTAATGACGACGATTCTAGGTTGCATCCGTCGAGAATAGAAAATGTATGACTAAAAGTAGACGTAAGTACCTACCATGTCGCTTTGGTTTTTGGCTTCTTTTTTGTACCGTGTTTTTTTTGCTTTTGGCGACGCGTTATCCGCGAACTGTCTTCTATGATCCTTGCCAATTAAATACCCGGTAAGCATCCAGAACCAGGGTATTAATGACAGCACTGCTATCAGGTGGCGCCGATGCTTATTATATTATAGATCGTCAAAGTAACAAAGGTTTCTATTCCCAATGCGAACCCTCCCTCCATTTGATTCTGCACTTCCGTTCAGCACCAAATCCTTTTCATTCCCTTTCAGTGCGGGGAGTTCTGGGCTGGTCCAGAGTGGGCACTGATCTTTTCCTCGAAGAGTTTTCAAATGGTCTTCAACATGCTTTGGTACTTTCCAATAGAAACCCTAAAGTGTGTTCAGACTTCGTCGCGCGAGGATCCCTCGATTCGATCGCGCGATCGGATCGCTTGACTTGATTGGGCCGTGTTCACCACAGTGCCAGTTAGAATCTGGTTCCGGCGGTGGCGTACCGCCAGGTGGTGGAGCGCTTCCGGACGTGATGGCGCGATCCAGTTGAACAATTCGGTCGCGCAGCGAAGTCTGAACGCGGTCCCACTCATCTTCCTGTCGTTACTGTTTTTCGCTGAAGTTTTCCGCAGATAAAAGTTGTTGCCGTTACAGTGATTTCTTTTTATTTATCACTGTAATGCCTCCACTAGCAACAGACGCTTTTGCATTTTTTTGCCTGATTCATTAATCCTAGCAGGTTATGGGGCATCGCAGAGATCGCAAAGGTCAGGCCATAGCGTGGCGGTGTGTCGTAAGGAAAGGAGTAACATAATCAGCCAATACGCACTGGCTGTCAAAAGCAGAGGCTGCTATTGGCGATCAACTCCTGCCAAGGTGAGATAGTCTTCTGTTTCATTTTCTACATTTAATAATTTAGGATAAAAGCTGTTGGGTGGAAGTGGGTCTTTTTCCTTGCAGGACGTCATCCTTGCAAATGTCAGGCCCGAATCCATGCTCTCGTCAGCAACTGTATGGGATGTGGAAAGATAGTATGTGTACAGGAAGGTAGTGGACCTTGCTTTTTCTGTGGAAATCTGGTCTGCACCAAGGATGAGAAAGAGGTGATGATAACTTTAACAAGTTAGAAGGTGGGCCTGGTCCCCTTGGTTTTCAACTGGCTGAGATTTCATGTTAGACATTCGACTGAAAGTTGCTTTAGATTCTGGATCGAGGTTCTCGAAAAAGTGCTGAACTTTACTCTCATTTGATGGGCTTGAAGAAGGGTGGTAACACCAATGAATCTTCACTATCTGCTATTGGAGCTGAGTTCCAAAAAGCTACTCACTTCAGAAACAAGCTTCTAGCTGCCGACGCTGACTCGTAATTTTTTAATTCATTGTTGAATAGCAATGTGTTCGGCACTACTCAACTATTACTATTCTAAGAACTCAAAAGAATTTTTCGGTGAAACCTTGCCTACAAGGGTAATTCGATGTCCTAATCACGAGTATGACATTCGTTTTTGGCGCTGGCAGGCAGTTGACCACCACTTTTCTAACCAAAGTCGGTGTAAACTTGGCTACTGGGGTTATTCGGTCCCTTGATCACAAACATGACATTCATTTTTTTGCCCTAGCGTTGTTTGGCAAACAGCCTCTTTTCATCGAAATCGATAAGGACTCGCATAATTAGGGTTTTTGATGCCTGTGAACACGAAAATATAGGCATTGCAAATTTTTCGACACCATTGCCATTTAGCCACCTGCTAATTAGGAAGGTCGTTCAGGTCGTGGTGAGCTTTACAAAAACAGTTTGTTGCATGATGTAGGGGTCCATGCAAGGACCACACACATGGGGTCATTTTTGCTAAATGTGTGGGAATGCTAAAAAAGGGTTGAAATTTTCAAAAAGATAGCCGATTTGAAGCACCTTATTCAGCTCCTGTTCTAGCTGTATCGTTGAGAGTGTATAATTTATGAGGTGAACCTTGAGTAGACATAAAAAACAGCGCAGAAGAAAGTCAGAATCCAAGTACTTTACCTGGCATGTGATGAGCTACATTGAGGTTTCATCGTCATCCCCGCATGCTTCTTCAATGGCTCCCGCATACCATCCGTCGCAGCGGACGGATGGTGTAGTGGATAGTGCGACGGATTCTCAATCTACGTGCCAGCTGGTACATGGATTTTGACCTGCTGCGTTGTTTTTCAAAATGTCCTGCTCCAAGTTTCCTCATAAACATAATTGACTACGAAGATAACAGCTAGAATGGAGCTGAACAAGGTGGTTCAAATCGCCAATTTTTTCGAATTTTGTTCGACCCTTTTTTTGCATTCCCGTTACCATTTATCAAAAATGAACCCCATCCGTGTGGTCCCTGCATGGACCTCTACATCTGCAACAAACTGTTTTTAGAAGCTCACTACGGCCTGAGCGACCTCCCTTGTAAGGCTGAGCATGGGAGAAGGATTCCCTTCAGGCCAAGCTCGGCCTTAGCAGAGCGAAGACGATCGTAGCGTCCGCCATACGCGCCAGCGCCAAGAATGAACGTCATATTTGCAGTGAGGATGCCAAATAATCCCCTTATCCAGGTTTGAGTAGGTTTCGTTATTTAGGGTATCTTGGCGCGGGCGCCAGGCACGTTCATGCCGAGCGGATATGATATCCGTGTTCAGGGGGTAAAACGTTTTCAGCGAATTCGGTAATTCGGATAACGGCGCAGGCTTCAAGCGGTTTCGTGCTAAGTGGAAAAGATATTCGTGTTCAGGAGGTCCAACTGCCCCTAAAACCGAGTTTTTAGAAAAATCTGCCCCCCCCCCCGAGTATAATTCAAATGGGGTCGCGTAAGACAGCGCCCGGTCGTGGTCGCGCTATTCAGTCGCTCGAGTGATCGGTTCACGAAGCCTGTACGGTGTTACTTTACAGTTATGATCTGTCTTCACTGATAGCTTAGTTGTCCAACCCGACAAATTCCTCCAAAGGAATCTGCAGTCGATATAAAAGGCAATTTTCAGTTCTCTCAGTCTGACAGCCGAAACTTCGTGTTGACAGAATTTTGATTGGCGAGAGGTGTTATGCATTAAAAAGTTCAGAATTGTTTTCTTTGTGTTTTGAGATTTATAATAACCACTGTGACCGTTTAAGGGAGCGCCGCACGAAGGTTAATGACTTGGAGAGCGATTATTCCAGCATAGAGAACAGTCCTATCTAACACAGGCCCGAGGTTGCATTTTCCACGATTTTCGGCCCTTCAGTTTACTCGCATTGTTTTTTTAAGGAAACGCACACGGCAAATAATCCAACGCAAGTTTGGAATTGAAGAGATCAAAGCAGAGACCGCAAGAAGAAAAAAACGCTCTACAATCTCAATGTTACTGATGTCACCGTTAGCGAAGGGGTGCGTATTTATTCTATTGGTTCATGTTTCAGTACTTTTCTAACAAGGGAATGGTTTGAAATTCCCATGGAACTTTGAATGGAGACCTAGGTACATCGATAGAGCCTCGAATGCTGGCTACGAATATGCAGATTAAAGGTGCTACGGGGACCCTCCAGACTAGATCTGGGTGGTCAAAGTTTGCAAAAACTCACTTTTGGCTAAGCGCCGCTGATCGGTCCTTGGGCAGTGCCACCGTGGCGTAGTGGTAATGGTCTCGCTTCAAAACCGAAATAAACGTGGTTTGCATCCCGTTGGCAAGGAAATTTTTGCTTCGTCTCCTGTGGGAGCTTTTACTCAAACATTCGAAATTCTTCCGAGTTTACGGCCCAGGAGCAAGTAGATCGAATAGATCAAGTATATGACGCAATCGATCGAGTATGGAGTTAGTCACTATACCTCTCTGAACTTATTACCCTTCCGACAAGTTTTGCAAAGGATCAACACTTGCTACTTGCTCTGCCGCCGTAAACTCGGAAGAATTTCGAAAATTAGAGTAAAAGCTCTTATAGGGAGCGAAGCAATTCCGCAAAAACTAGATGCGAACCCACAAGTACTTGGCTTTAAAGTGAAACCGTCACCACTAGGCCACGGTGGCACTTTCCGCTGATCGATCCGCGGCGCTGAGCCAAAACTGAGTTTTCGCAAGTTTTGACCACCCAGATTTCGTCTGTGAGGTCCCCGCTGCACTTTTAATCTGCATATTAGCAATCAGCATTCGAGACTCTATCGACGTACCTAGTTCTCCAGTCAAAGTTCCATGGGAATTTTAAACCATTCCCTTGTAAGGGTACGATTATCACTCGTTTACAAGCAAACGGATCTTCGTGGGCCTGATTCTTAGTTCAGTGAAAGCGGCAGCTCATACGTTGTCCCGCAGCCTCACCGGTATCTAAATGTTGTAGAGCATGAAGATACCCAAGGCCTTTAAAGGCCTTCGGTGTGGATTTTGCGCCTCTTCATGCTCGACGACATCTCGAAAGGGGCAGTATTGATAAGACCACGTTCAGACTTCGCTATCGCGCGTTCGGATCGCTGGATTATATCGCATAATATAATCGGCTATTGTCGTGTGTGTGTGTGTGTGTGTGTGTGTGTGTGTGTGTGTGTGTGTGTGTGTGTGTGTGTGTGTGTGTGTGTGTGTGTGTGTGTGTGTGTGTGTGTGTGTGTGTGTGTGTGTGTGTGTGTGTGTGTGTGTGTGTGTGTGTGTGTGTGTGTGTGTGTGTGTGTGTGTGTGTGTGTGTGTGTGTGTGTGTGTGTGTGTGTGTGTGTGTGTGTGTGTGTGTGTGTGTGTGTGTGTGTGTGTGTGTGTGTGTGTGTGTGTGTGTGTGTGTGTGTGTGTGTGTGTGTGTGTGTGTGTGTGTGTGTGTGTGTGTGTGTGTGTGTGTGTGTGTGTGTGTGTGTGTGTGTGTGTGTGTGTGTGTGTGTGTGTGTGTGTGTGTGTGTCTGTTTGTCACGAAATTCATAGCACCTGAAGAAGAGCTTGGCGGGGTCGGGTCAGGGTGGGGATGGATAGAGCATGGGAAAAACCTAAATAGCACCCATGACCCATGGTAAGCCCCGCCCACAGTGGGCGGGGCGTGCGTCCAAATTTAGCGATGTCACTGAAAAAAGTCATAACTCGGTCCCAGAGCAGTCCCCGAGATGAGGAAATAGTGCAGTAAAGTTAACGGAAGCCTGACCGACAAATAAGATACACTTGGAATGGGCGGGGCGTGCTTGAGATGGGCGGCGCTTCCCAAAGGTCGGTAACTCGGTCCCCGAAGATGTTTAGGGACCGCAGAAAAGTCCGTGACGAAGATTAACGTCTGGCAACAGTCCGCCATGTTTTCGACGTGGTGAGGCCCGCCTACAGTGGGCGGGGCGTGCATTTGAGCATGAGGATCAATAAAAAGTCTTAGTTTGGTCCCAAAGCACTGCAGAAGGTGCCAAAATGTGGACTATGGTCCCCAAGTGATCAATGTAAGGATGTGTCGCAGGCCCACTCCTTGGGCGAGCCCTGCACCGAGGTGGGCGGAGCCAAATTTGAAAAATGAATTGAATTGAATGAGTTGAATTCAGCACACGCTTATGGGCTACTAACTGAAGCTTTGTACGGGTAGGCTAGCACTGGATGTCCGCGCTCCTGTCTGTTTTGCCGGTTCCACGTGGGCGGCCGGCATATCCGTGTCTCGAAGTTCCGGTAAAATCCTATGACCCCGGTTGTGGTCGTAGGACACCATGGCCGGCTGGTGTAGGCGTTGCGTGGCTGTTATTCCTACCTGGCTCACGGATTATAGCCTAATTTCAGAGTCGTGCTCTTACCTCAGAAACGATCCGGGACAGCCGTTTACTTTTGTCTTCCTTCTCTCTAAGCTTCTTTCTCACATGCCACTCTTAAAAATCGAGGTGCTACTGAATCCAAGACGAGTCTTCTGTCTCCTCAACCTTTTGTGGTCTCGTTCACTTCCACGGTTTTCTCGCTTTCTCCTTTTTTGATTCCTAGCGTTGGTTTGTCCATAGCAGAACCCGTTTAGTGGCCGCTTTTCGTGCATCTTTTCCTTTATGTTATTTCATTAAATTCTTTTTATCCTCTTTTTATGTTTAGCCGTTTTTTTCCCCTTTTTTTTCCTGTTCGGTTGTTTCTGAAATAATTTGCTTCATGGTACTATTCGCCCGCACGAATTACATGTGATTAACTGGCGCGTCATCGTACGCATAAATAAATAAATAAATAAATAAATAAAATAAAAAGATTCGCAAAACGGTTCCAGGGCACTCCCAAACAACGCTGGGGAAAATCGTAGGTTTAACGATGCAGCGAGGGGTTATTAAGTTGAGAAGCGCGGGGCATATGTTGTGGGCGGGGCGTGCCCCGAGGTGGGTGGAGCCAAATTTAAAAAATTCGCGAAACGGTTCCAGAGCACTGCAGACCCCGGGGGGGTAACGGGTTGACAAGTGTGAGGCATATCCGTTGTGAGTGGAGCGTGCGTCGAGGTGGGCGATTCCGGTCCTAAAACTTCTTCAAACGGTTACAGGGCACTCTAGGCACTCCAGACCTCTTCTGAGACACGGCTCAGGCTTTGAGCGGGGCGGTGGCTCCATCGCGCCTAACTGCATTCGTATGATCAAATGCTCAACCTCCAGCTTTTCTCTCATCTGCGCACCTGATCAGCGCTCCTTACCACCATTCCATAGACCGTAATAGTGTTGAAAATAGCAGGCATGATGTGGAATATGAACATGCTATTGGTCAAAAAATGTTGACCATCTGTTCAATTAAAAGAAAAGCCGGATACTAGGTGGGTATTGAAATGTGTGGAAGAAGATAAGCGCAGCGAAGCCGCGCCTGCTCGGTGAAGTCGTGCTGTGTTTCAGATATAGGGGCGCCGGCCTGGAGAGAGAGAGTAGCTCGATCACCTTTGGGGCGTTCCACCGCCAAACGGTGCATCGCTGCAAGGACAGATTCCAAATCGGGCCGTGTTGTGATAGTGTCAGTCTGGACTGTGCCATTGTGGCACCATTTGGCGGTGGAGCCGCCCCCGGTTCTAGTCGCGTGATCGCGAAGTCTGAACGCTGCCTACCTGAAAAGTTCAATTATCTTTCGCTGGTATTTGGAGCGGATATGGATTCGTTTATCGGGTTTCTTGAAGATGATGAGTGGCTATAACCTGTCAATAAGTCACGGTCTTCTTTAAATGCGCAATTCAAAGCAAATCTGCATAGGTTCACAATACGAGCTCAAGTCGCACATATGATCCAGTGATTGAATCAATAACGGAGAAAATCGAGAGAGACGTCGCGCCGCTGACGCTGCCCGAAGTTCGGCTGTCGACGCCCATTGGATTCCAAAAGGGTTTGTTCCTAAGGTGAGTACTACTGATGTGTAGCGATGGATTATACGAGAAAAATAATCGGGGTAACTATTTTTCCTTTTCGGATAAACAACGTTGGTGAAATTGAAATTTATTCGTTCCAAAAAAGTTCCCTATAATGCTCATGCCGCCTTTCGCGAACTTCGTATTTCCTGATCATTTCATGAACCTTTCTAACCAGTGGTGAGCAGTCATGGGGGCTACGCTATGACCTTCGCGGACAACAACGGTGCGTTGAGGCAGACTTTTATTTAGCTTCTTTTTACTACTGCGATGAATCTGAGGCCTATTGATCGAACACTGCTGACTTCAGGCGGATGTTCTGAAAGCGGGAAATGGGTTATCACGTGCGAATGCTATCTGGAATTTATAAGGCTATTAGTGAGCTTACTACTCAGCCGGGCAAGACTAAATTAGCCCTGGCATAATATGAGAGTCACTTACCGCAGATTATCGCGAGGGAAGCGAGAACTAAAGAGGGCAGTCTACCGCGAGCAAAGAGCGGCATTCTTGCACTTTTGTGCACACAGTGTGCTCTGAACTCACGCAAATCTACAATCACCGTTTTCACACTCAGAAGTGATACGTTGTAATAAGCCTGGAAGCTATGTTTCGACGTATGAGCGAAAAGTCTAAAAAATATTCTCATGCATTTTCCTACCGCTGCCCACTCGCGTATTAACGCGATATCATCACCAGAGCGCGCTCGAATACTTAAAAAATGCTTTGAGTCAAAACTCTATCAGTTATAAATATTGCCGGAAATCTTAATTCTTAGTATAAATGTGGCTAATGCGACTTCGTGCCTTTCGTTGTTCTCGGAGGTTTCCGCCCTATTTTTTCCGCAAGCTTGGGAATGCCTCTCTTAGATCGTGTTACTGTCCGAGTGGTAATGGAACGAGACGCGCTGAAAAAAACACCACTACAGCAAGGATATGCTTGCATTCAGAATTTGGTCATTCTGTGGCTTACAACTTTGTTCAGTCTCATATCGTCCTCAACTGCTCTAACCCACTATGCAACTGTAACAGCTTTAATCTCTGTGGAAAGAAATAGCCACTCCACGATAAGAAAAATTGCGTTTTTACAACTCTTATTTTGAAAAAAAAAA